TGTGGTCCATAGACAGTTGAAACTCTCAACAAGAAACAGTACATTCTAGTTATTGTTGATGATTTTTCTCGATTTACTCGGGTTTATTTTCTCAGGTTAAAATCCGAAGTTGCTCAAACAATGATTGATTTTATCAAAAAGATGGAGACTAGCTTAAACAAGAAAGTTCGAAAAATCAAGAGTGATAATGGTTCCAAATTTTAGAACAATGTTCTTGATTTGTTTTTAGTTGACAAGGGAATTTAGCATAATTTTTCGTCACCCTACACACCGCAGCAAAATGGAGTTGTCGAAAGGTGAAATGAATCTCTTTGTTAAGCAACACGAACAATGCTCATTTATGCGAACCTTCCTCAATATATGTGGGCAAAAGTAGTCTCAACTGCATGTTTTACTCAGAATAGATCTTTTATTCATCGAAGCTTCAACATTACTCCTTATGAAATTATTAATAATTGAAAACCTAATGTCAAATTCTTTCATGTCTTTGGTGGTAGGTATTTTATAATGAATCTCAAGGATAATCTTTCGAAATTTTAGTCCAAAGCTGATGAAGACATTTTATTGGGATACTCTCACAATTTGGTTGCATATCGAGTGTTGAATAGACGAACAAGGAAAATTGAAGAAACTTTTAATCTTACGTTCGATGATTATTATATCACACAAGTTGACAAGTGTTTCGAACAAAAACCAATAAGTGCAAAGAATGAGGTACTCAATGGATAGATGGGTTAAAATTCATCCTAAAGAACAAGTGATTGAGAATCCACATGAAGGAGTACTAACAAGAGCTCAAATACGTGCAAAGAATGAGGTACTCAATACTCATCAGGAATTTTGTATGTTTAATGTTTTTATTTCGAAAATTGAACCAAAGTCAGTTAAGGTTGCAATGGAACACTCTGATTGGGTTGTTGTAATGTAATCTGAATTAGCTGAATTTGAAAGAAACAAGGTTTGGAGATTAATTCCTAAACTAAAAGATGTGTTAATTTTCGGATTAAAATGGATTTTCAAAAATAAAACTGACAAAGATGGTAATATTGTTCGAAATAAAGCAAGGCTTGTTGTAAAAGGTTATTTGCAACAAGACGGTATCGATTATGAAGAAACATTTTCCCATTTCGCAAGACTCGAGGCTGTTCAAATATTTTTTTGCCTATTCAGTTCATAAAGATTTTGATGTTTATCAAATGGATGTCAAATTTGCATTTTTAAATGGTGAACTCGAAGAGACAGTGTATGTGGAACAACCTCTAGATTTTGTTATTGAAGAATATCATGATCATTGTTATAATTTAGATAAAGTTGTGTATGGGTTAAAACAAGCACCAAGAGCATGGTACGGAACATTAACTTCATTCTTAAAACAATAAAATTTTAAACAAGGATCAGTTGATCCCACGCTATTTCGAAAGAAAGTTGGTGATCATCTCATGCTTGTTCAAATTTATGTGGATGATATTATTTTTGGCTCTACTGACCCTGCTTTGTCTAGTGAATTCGAAAATCTGATGAAAAGCAAATTTGAGATGAGTATGATGGGCAAAATTAACAACTTTCTTGGGTTGAATATTAGTCAAAACGGAGAAGGAATTTTTATAAATCAAGAAAAATACATAAAGAATCTGCTTGAAAATTTTGGAATGACGAATAGCACAAAATTGCGAGTGCTTGTGGCGACTGGAACAAGGCTTACACCTTCTTTACATAAACCAGCAGTTCATCTTACTTTATAAAGAAGCATGATAGGTTGGTTACTTTATCTCACAGCATGTTGACCTGACATTATGTTTTCTATTTGTAATTATGCTAGATACTAATCAAATCCGCGTGAACCACATTTAACAGCAGTGAAGAATATTTTTCGTTATCTCAAATGTTCTATTTCGTTAGGATTATGGTATCCTTCGAAATCAAGATTCTTCATTCAAGCATATTCTAATGTGGATTTAGGTGGATGCAATCTGGATAGAAAAAGCACAAGTGGCGGGTGTCAACTTCTTGATGGGAGGTTGGTAAGCTGGCAATCGAAGATGCAAACTTGTGTTTCGATTTCGAAAATTGTGTTTCAATTTCGAAAGCAGAAGCTGAATATGTTGCTGTTGCAGCTCGCACCTCTCAAATTATTTGGATACAAAGCCAATTACGTGACTATGGAATCAATATGAAGAAAATACATTTGCATGGTGATTCTCAAAGTGCGATTCGCATTTTTCACAATCCTATGCAACATTCGAAAACTAAGCATATTTCTCTTCGATATCATTTTATAAAAGATCATGTTGAGGATGGCAATATCGAAGATTATTTTCACTAAGCCACTTGATGAAAAATTGTTTGTTCGAATTTTAGCAGGATTAGGAATGATCGAAGGAGGTTCAATTCCAGGATGTGATTCGAAAGAATGATAAGATGAGAAAGGATGACAGCCGTCGAAGTCAATGGTTACTGTTCATAGTCAACGCTTCGATACGCTTCACTTTCGGCATTGTGGTTTATAACTATAATGAAAAATCTTCGCATGTTCGGTACATTTACTTTTACTATTTTCAAAAAAAAAATTCGAAAAATCAAAAATACCAACAAGATTTTACTTTTATTTTGTTTTTTTTCGAAAAATCAAAAATACCAAAAAGATTTAACTTTTGTTTTGTTTTTCTTTTCGAAAAATCAAAAATACCAAAAAGATTTTACTTTTGTTTAGTCTTTATATTTCGAAAAATTAAAAACTCCAAAAAGATTTTCTTGTTTGTTTGTTGGTTGTTTTTCGAAATGTTGTTACAGCTTAATGTGAAGATCATTGATGGATCATGCTAGCCGTTCTAGGGTCAGGTATACTTTCGAAAAACTTTGTACTAGTTAGAATGTCCCTAGAAGCATGTTGCAACATGTTAACTCAAGCCTCTTTTGACTCAATGTGTGATTTAGAAGCGTTAATGAAGTTTTCATCATGAAAATTTCTATCCAATTAGGCTTTATTCACATTAGTCCATGAGCTACCATACTCTACTCAAATGAGTTAAGAGTAATCTGCTTGGTCCAACAAATAGCAGTGGTACATTCGAATTCCTTTAACCAATCTTTTTGATCCAAAAGTTCTTACACTTTCACACACAATGACATCTGTCCAAGAGATTTCTGGTACAACCAATCAGGATTTAGACATATCAACATTCTGTGTTAATGATATAACATCATGAGACTGTGATGAATGTTAAACCATAAATATCGAACTCATTAAGGAATTGACGGGGAACAATATTCTAGATTTTATGAGACATTTGTTTATGTACCCTTCTTCGATACTCCAAATCATAGTCAATCATTTTCAGTGGTCTTGATCAAATGTTCGTAACCCACGACATTTGTTTCCCTACAAGATCCAGCTAATTTTTTGTTTTCTTGAATATGATTTATGTGTGAGTATTATTTGTTTCTTAAAGTCAGTTACAAAAGTTTTTCCATAGCCTACTTGTCACTGACAACATTGGTCAAACAAGTCATTTCTGTTACAATTATTCATATTTATGTTAAGTGCTAATATGTAATGAAATTTTAAACCACCCACGAAGCTTATTCAAAGGAGGCCCTTTGATACTTCTTACTAAGTATTCGATTTTAATTCATAGGACACAACACAAGATGTTAGTCATCTCTCTTGATGAATAACGAAGCAATCTTTTCTCGGGAGTTATCTGCCATTATGTCGAAGATTTCATGTTTCGGCATCATAGGTCCAAACTTTTCTTTATTTGCTTCTAATCTTTTTCTTTGATACACTGTACTCACAAAATCCTTGAGGTTCTGAGTATTACCAACTCAGACTGATGATTTCAAATGTCTGGCATATGACTTCGCTTTTCCACCCAAAAGTGAAAGAGCCTTGCCTCCATTCCAAAGGTTTATGATGGTTGTTATTCCATTTGGGCATGTAACCAGACTATATGAGTAGACATTTTGTATTCTGTCTGGGTTTCAAGGAGAAGTGATGCTCAGTTGATCACGTGTGGATACTTTATCGACGTATGGGAGCGGTTTTCAAGGTGCCACATCAGATTTCATTTAATGTTGATCCTGCTTCAATTTCAAAACTAAGGGTCACCTATAAAAGGGGTGTCGAGGGTTCATTATACGGCTGTGCTTTCTGAAAATTCCCAAATCACAAAAGAACTCTTTGATTATTCATTCATCTTCAAACCCTAATCATGGCTAATCCCGCACCATCTCAAACCACAGAAGATGTTTCTTCCCAACCCATCTTGAAACTTAAAAGCAATAGTTATCAAGTTGAAAGTGATGTTACCCTTTACCCTGAAGAACTAAAGATGTTGATCGTAGTGCTACAACATTTTGTTTTGGAGATGGCGATGTTTAGTTCTTTTGCAGTTCTGATATCTTGGTTATCACTAGCAGGTTCTACGGGTACGTATAGCAAAACCTTAGATCCTATCACCTTTAATCTGATCAATGAGAAGAAGTTCCGGTTAACTAAGAAGCTTTTTTGTCAAATACTGGAAATCCCTAACTCACCTCCTTTCTATGAAGTCACAAATGAGTAGGTTTTACACAAGTTCAATGAGATGGGTTATCATCCCATTCTTACAAAAATTAGTGAATTCAAGAAGTCCATCCTTCCATATCCTTGGAATTTTTTGTTTGGCATTTATCTTCGCTATCTTACAGGCCGAAATGTTGGATTAGATAAAGGGCGATTGGAAGTTTATGCCATGGTGGATGGTATCTATTATGATCTTTCTATGGATTATGCTACATAGACGTGGACAGAATTTCTCAAGAGTGTGGAAAATACCAATATTGTAGATGGCATTTTGCATGCAAGATACTAGAGTTTGATTCTTCAGTTTGAATACGAAAAGGAAGGAATTCAAGTACCACCTGATTAGGTTACATCAAAATTTTTGAAGTACAATTTTCCGAAGGTTGTTGAGGATAATGCTAAGGAATTTCCTAGTATTGCTAGGATTCTGGATTGTATGCTTAGGAAGGTGGATTCTTCCAATTTAGTTTTACAGGCTTATTTGAAAACGATCAATCCCTCTGTTGAGACTAGAATTTTGTCGTCTCGAATTAAAGAGGGTCCATCTAAACGTTTGAAGAAGATAGAGGAAAGTCCTACGAAACTGATTGAGGAGAAGAAGAAAACAAAGTCTCCAACGAAGAAACCAACAAATGACGTCAACGTTTCGAAGCCTAAGGATACCACTGGTGCAACAAAGCCCGGTGAACCTCTAAAGGAGGTAGTTCCTTCAAAAACTGGACTCAAGAAAATAGGTGACAAATATCTTCTGATAAATCTCCAGGTTTTTATCCATCTATGGTTCGAAAACCACATGTTACAAGAAAAGGAGTGGTGATTCAAGAAGTTCCAGTTCCCATCTCACCTTCATCAAAGAAGCGGCAAGCCGAAGATATGGCTAAACATATTTTGAGAAAACAGAAAAAGAAGCTTCGCAAATTGGTGTTAAATGACGAATCTACTAAAGATGAAGTTCTCCAGGATCCACCAGTAACAACATCTCAAGCGATACTTCAAATGTCAAAATCATTATTGTATCATCCTTAGTTTCTCAACCAGAACCAATTATTGTTTTTCTTCCATTGAAAACAAATGTTGCAACCACTCTGTTACAAGGAACACCTATCATTGTTTCTTCTACTTTCGAAACTTCCACCATAGATACAACAACTACTTTACCTCCTTTTGTAACTGCTCTGCTTGATACACATTCACCAACTTTCGATAATATCCTCAACCAACCAATTACTTCCTTATTTTCTTCCCAATCTACCGACCCACCAGTTACTACTACAGAAGTTCATCATTCATCTAATGATGATGAAAATGTTGTTGATGGAACATTTGGAGATATTCATTTTGATCCTGAAGAAGAGGAGATTCCTGACAACATGATACTGACTGGCAAACAATTCAAAATCCTGAATCAGAAGCTTAATTCATTATTGCAAATTCAAGCTGATGGAGGAGGGAAACATTCAGTATCCAGTCTCGAAGTTGATCTTATGCTCAAAAAGCAAGAAAGCCGTCTTCATGAGGCCATTTCTGAAGTAGATCAGAATAATTAAAAGTATGTGAAGAATCAATTGTGTACTTTTTCTTCTGATCTTCAAGAATTGAAAGTTGTTACAAAAGAACGTCACATTTTATTTGTTCAAGGTGTTAAGAAGGTAAGGGATGATGTGAATTTGAAAATTCAGGAACTTCCAGAGGATATGAGCAAAGACATTGAGGTTGCGCAAAAAGATTATGCTTCTATTAATCAAAAGATGGACATAATTGTGGATGCAGTGACAAAATTTGTCAAAATTTATGAAGTTCTTGGCCCTAAGGTTGATCAAATGTCAAAAGATGAAGTTCAAAGCTTTTCGGAAATCAAAAAATTGTTGACTGAATTGAAAGAAATTGTTTCGAAGCCAGGATCCTCTCCTTTAATCACCCCATAATTTTTTTCCCAAAATTTTCTTCTTTTTGAAGTTGTTCTCCACAAACAGTAAGCCCCATTATCTCAACTTGCAGGTATTTTACCAACAAACATTCCCATAACATCGAAAGTTGACCCTGTAATTTCGACTGTTACCACTACAAGGCTGGTGTTGAAGGGTATAGTGATTGGGTCAAGTGGAGAAGGCAGTGCGTCGAAACCCAAAGAAATTCCAACAATGCAAGATAGGGGGAAAAAGGGTGTAGTGGAAAAATCAAAAGAAGAAAGAAAGGCAGAAGTGGAGGCTGAGATGGAAAGGCAAAGGCAGATTCATAGTATATTGATGCTTCCACAAAAGGATCCTCCTCATCTAAACAAGGGAGATCCCAGGAAGTTGCATTGCTACGAAAATATCGAAGCAAGGGTGGCATACAATGAAATGCATGAATTTGAGAAGAAGCCCAGAAAGAGTTATAATATCGAAAACTCAGATATGAATCAACTTGACTTCCCAATCAATGAAATGATGTTCATAACTGCCCATATAAAATTGAAAAATTCAAGAATCCATATGACTTCACACACATGAAAATGAGGTTTCATGCTGTTTTAGGGAAAGAGCAAGAGGAAGTATGGTCTTGTGTGAAAATGGTTCAAGTTTTTGAGTATAACCAAGGATGAAATGTTCAAAAACATGTTACAAACCTTTTGATATCATGTGGTGAGAGCTAACAAATTCGCATGTAATTTCACCATTGCTGACTTACTACTAATGAAATTAAATGATCTTATTCAAGTTGCATATATTCTTAAGGAGTCAGATAAGTCAAAGCTTCAGGGAACAAGTAAAGAGGTGTTGAGATTGGTATTGGGTCATCTTAAAATCTTCATTGACATTTATTATGGTTGTGTTGCTTTGACTGACATAGAGTTAGCTATGTCTTTGGAAAAAGCAGTTTAAGTGCCTCAATCATTGGTGAAAAAGAAGGCTGAATTAATTTCATATGTTGACGATGAAATTTGCTTGAAGGAATATGGGATTGTTTTTTTTTTTTTTGGAAAAGGGAAGAATGGAAGACAGTCAAAATTTTTGTTTCAAATTAATGATGTGGAAAGGTACACAATAACACAATATACGAACTTAATTGTTCGTATGAATAGTTTCAAGAAGAATTCTGAATAAGATAAGGCTGAAATGTGAAAGATCATGAATTGGTATGCTAAAGTTCAGAAGACATTGCATAAAGTTGCTCAAGTCTTAATCAACTGACTTCGAGACTTATTACAAAGGGGAGATTGTTAGTGTCAAAATTGTTGTAATGTGTCGAAGTGTATTTTAGCAGTTTCGAATAGTATGGTATCTATTTACTAAGGCATTTATGTTTCAAAGTCTAGATGCTTAGTCCTTAGTATTTTTTGTATGCTTTACTTTTCTACTATAAATAGGAGTTGTTACTTAGAGATAGATATGAGTTTTGGAGTTTGTCTTGTCTAAATTCTCTTTGTAACTGTGAAGCATAATATGAGCTGAAACAAGATCTTATTTACTCTATGTGTTCTTAATTCTCATTACCCTGATATTCGTTTTCATTGTTCGATTCAATACATCATCAGTTATGTTATGTTGCAGTATGATGACGCTACGTGGTAGACCAGTTGGTAGTTCAGGCGCCGGTGTGGGATCAGGATCGGGCTCTAGAGTCGGGCAGCTCAATGAGCATATGAGAGAGATTATTTCAAATGAGATTACGTGTAGTATTTTGGATCAAACTCATGTGATCTTCAGAACGATCAGGGAGGGTAATATGGAGCTTTTAGATGAGAGATTGGGTGCATTCCGCACCGAGATCGTGGTCATGATGGCAACGTACACATTAACATTCAGGGAGTTCAGATCCTGTGGAGCTCTAGACTATCATGGGGCTAAGGACCCTATTACTAGCAGTCGATGGTTGGCAGATGTCGCCAACGCCTTTCGTTCTAGCCGGTATCCCGAGGGGGACAAGGTTCGACTCGCCTCCTGTCTTCTAAAGGATAGAGCAAGCGATTGGTGGGGGGAGGTTGGACATGTTTTTCGAGATGATGTTGCGTTGGACGTGATAACATGAAGTGACTTCTCAGTCTGGTTCAAGGCCGATTTTGCACCATTTATTGAGGTGCAGCAGTTAGCACGGGAGTTCCAGGATCTCCAACAGACTACATAGATGGTGGCTGAGATAACTACCAAGTTCAGGGAGAGAGCCCTTCTTGTTCCACAATATGCGGCGGATGAGGAGATAAACAAGGCTCGGTACCACAAGATGCTAAGAAGAGACAATAGATAGTTCGTGAGCTGGTCTAGCTACAAGACCCTAGAGGATATGATCGTTCGAGCTAGGGAGAGGGAGATCAACTTAGAGGCAGATTGGAAAAGGAAAACAGATGAGGTGAAGACATCTTCAAGGTTGGGCAAGAGGCCAAAGGTATCAGATTCTAGATCGAGAGGTCATCAGGACTGTAGCCTCTGTAGCAAGTGTTACAGGACACACGAGGTGCGTATAGGAGCGGTAGTTGTGGTGATTCTGGTTGCTTCAAGTACCGTCGAATCGGTCATTATAGTAAGAGGTTGTACTACTACCACCACCCATGGATCAGACCTAATTTGCTTCCATTGCGGTCAGAGGGGCCACAAGAAGGTCCAATGTATGACTTTGGCTGCAGCGGGACAGGTGATGACACCTGTCCTTGCGACATTGAGGATCACTGACGACTGTCAGGGATAGGTAGAGACGCCTGAAGTAAGGAGCAGGGCTTTCCAATTGATTACAGAGGAGACACGAGCAACTTCAGATGTTGCAGGTGCGTAACTTTTTCATTTATATCAGTTATATTTATGATTTTATTGCTATTTTCTCACATCCATATGAGTAGTTGTATCATGGGATTATACTTCCTGTCGGGTGTGTTGTAAGATGTTAGTTGAATGAAAGTGGGGGAGAGTTCTTCAAGGGTTCAGGAACAGAAGAAAGGCAGCCCAAGTGGCTGATTGGATTGAGGGGGTATGTGATTTCAGAGTTTGGGAAACTTCCTAACATAGGGTTCATGTCTTTTGGTGTTCGATAGCTGGTTTTAGGAATTAGGATGATGAAATTCTCATTAGGGTGCGAGTTTAGCTAGAATGTTAGGTAGTGTGCATGACAGCATGGAAATTGTTGTAAGACTGCGGGATAGTCATAGCATTCACTAGCAGCCGAACGGTGTGTAAAATGTTGTAAGGTTGTGGGTTAGCCACAATATTCATTAACAGTCAGATAGCTGAGTGTGGATAGGGCCCCGTATATCCTAGTTAGTGGGGTGTGGGCAGGGGCTCGTATCTCTTAGTTAGTGGAGTGAGGTTGGGGGCCCATATCTCCTAGTTAGCGGAGTGTGGGCGGGGGACTGTATCTCCTAGTTAGTATGGTGTGGGCAAGGCCCGTATCTCCTAGTTAGCGTGATCAGAATCAGGAAAGGATAGGTGGATAGGAATTAAGGTGAAGTTGTACCTGCGTAGTCCTAGATAGGTGAGACCTGGAGGCAAGTTCACTTCGTAGTATGGTTTGGGCGAGACCCATAGGCGAGGCCTGTGTGATCATAGCAAGGAAGGTGGAACCTGGCAGAGACCGTGGGGTCAAGATACAAGATCAGGGATTCTAGGATTTATAGAGCCATGAGTGGAAATGTGGATAGATTAGTTTCGATAGTCGAAGTTCTTCGGAAGTCTTTGGGAGCGAATGAGAGGGTTATCATTGGTTCAATAGCTGGGTGGAATCTGATATTGCAGATACTGGACAAATCAGTTTGGACCTGGGAGATCCAGGTTCCTTTAGAAGGTAGATAAGAGGCAGCGTGATGTTCAGGAGGGAGTAGTGTTTATGAGCGTTGTAGTGTCTAAGGCAGCTAGCGGATCATAAGAGCGAAGACACTTACAATTCGATTTAATAATCTCAAAGTAATTGATTTGACCCTGTTGTGCAGCTCTCGTCTGAGTCTAACTGTTTCAGGGATGAATCTCCTACTCGAAGGATTATCTGAACCTTCTTTCATGTATACGTATTCTACAATTGGTTATGGACATGGATTTTGTTTCTGATTGTATCATCGAGAAAATTAGGATGGGAAGTTTTATGGTAGAACAGCTTCTTGATGAAGTTTTGGCATGGTAGTTTTTGAAGCATAGAGGTTCCGTCAGGGAGACAGGCCATTATAGATTTAAGACCTCGGAAAGACAGAAGTAGTCCTCTGTATGAAAATAAAGATGATCTTTCATCAGGTTTGGAAGGTTCCAATGTTTGGGTTCAACTGCCTTGGGAAGGCCATTGATTGCGTAGGTTGATAATGATACTTCCAGGATCGCAAGTGCTGGTGGCGGTGGGAAACACCATTTGGTCTAGGATAGGTAGGAGGAGATCTATGAGTGTGTCGTGTGAGATGCTTGTGGGGTAGGTGACTGTAGCGGACTTCGTGGACGGAGTCCAGTTTAAGTGGGGAGAGTTGTAATATCCAGAAACCAGAAGGCTAATTAAGGAAAGATAATATGGAAATTGAAGGTCTACTCGTTGAGTCCAAGGGGGACAACTTGATGAGTAGAAATAAGTTTTGGGGACGTGGGTTGAGAAACCTACTCGACGAGTTAGGGAGGACCAACTCGACGAGTTGATCTGGGTTTGGGAAACCATAGATTCGGGGTTTTGCACCCTATTTAAGTATCTTAATCTCCACCTTATGTCCTCATTTCCAACCTCCATTGTCCGAACCCTAATCCACAAAACCTTAACGCTTGTGAGCCATTTTTGAGTAAGCCTTGTGTGATTTGAGGCTTGTAGAAGATGAAGAAGCTAGAGGATTCCAAGAGAATATTGTGGATCCAAAAGCAACATCTCATTCTCATCCTTTTCCTGGTAATCAAGCCTCTAACTTGCCTAGTAGTCCCTTAGATCTCCTTATATTCACTTTATGAGGGTTTTTGGTCCATGAAGCTTAGTCCTTGGGAAATGGTCGTTCCAA